CAGACAAAAAAAAAAGCTGAAAACATGAAAATGTAATCCAAGAACCCATATAGAAATCTGAGATATAGCAATATATGCTAATTTATGACACACAATTTAACATATTTTCTATTTATTATACTTGGATTATCTTATATGCAAGCAGTGTTAAATATTTTTTAAATACCTATAAGTTAGGTATTATAATGTTAAATACCTATAAATCGCATGTCTTTGCCAATGACTGTAAAAATTAGCTGTAGGTGACGCGGGTAAAAGGTGGTAAACTACAAACATGGCGGACTCGCGCGACCAACAGTAAGAGTGTAAATCGGTAAAAATATTTGAATACTGGAAACTATTGAAACAACGTTTATCACGTTGTATTTTATCAGGAACAACAATGTAAACTTTATAAAAGATGTGTTTGGCCGATTATGTCTGAATGAAAAATGATCCTGCTGCCGAGGATGACGTGAGGAGATGATTGACAGGTCTCGTAACTAGGCAACATAACGGTCCGTTAATAAGGAATAACGGTAGTTTGTCCGAAAGCTTGCGTTACACACTCAAAAGTACGGTTTTTTTAAGTAAGTTCATACTCTAAGGATTTCGTATAATAACGTTAGGTCTTACCTCATCTGGGACGTGTTTTTCTCTCACTTCTTGACCGGAATAATCACGATGATCCTCGGTGACGGTAGCTGTTCAGAGCCGCGTACTCGCGAGAGTCTCAACGGCGGCCAATAACGGAATATTGGATAAATCTAGCGAACAAAGCAGTGATTTGATACTCCAAGAGGACATTTCTGCGATTACTGACACACTTCTCTTGTCTACTGACAGTGAAATGTCTGCTTACTCAAAGATGCACATTGTCCTTTCACCTTTGGAACTTCCGGTCACCAATCTTCATCTCGACAACAGGTAAGCACTTTTTAATTAACACACGTTAAGAGCACAGAATCTTTGGTTAAATATGTTATATTAGATTCTATGCTCTTTGGCATATTGGAGAGTGATGATTTATGTCAAGAGGGAAGTTGTTACATCACTTGTTTCTAGAAACCCATATTAGAAATTGGTTATGTCACCACATAACGGTTACTTTTGAAGAGCCTCCATTTTACCCATCCATCTGAAAATGAGTATGTTCCTTCATTTCTCAGTGAATATAGGCAGTGTAATTAGGTGCATTTTAAGAAAATAGATTTATTAAACAGTTATATATTACAATAATATTTTAGTCACTGAACATATTTAGAAAATGGAAAGATAATACAATCAAATTCAAGCAAACTATTGCAAAAATATGCAAATATTTGCTTGATTTTTCCTCTTTTTAAAATTTGTATTTAATATTTTTATCCAAAGAAGAGAGACACATAGCATGAGGCAAGTATATTTGAGCTCTGAAAACAGTGTTTTGCCTTTCAAAGTAAATTTTATATGATCAATTGTTGAATCTAAGTTATTATAGGCAAGTTAGAGAATTTCATATATGTTGTAGTAAGTTACTTTAATCAGGCCCGTAGCCAGCCTGGTGAAAGAGGTGGTTGCTTTTCCCAAAAAAGTGAACCTTTTTGCAGTTAATCGCCTCATTTTCTATTTATTTATTAGGCTTAAATACTGCCTTTTGAGACATTTTCAGCACTGTTTATTGCTGGATTAGCTTGTCGGATGGTCATCATACCACACTCTTTGATGTGTAAAACTATTTCCAAAAGATTTAGAGTAAGAAATATGAAGAAAAATACACAAATTTAATACATCCTATATCATTAGAAAAAAAATGATCTGTTAAAGTTTTAAATTATTGGCCTAATGTCATTTATAAGGCAAATATACTGAGCAGCACATTCAACTTTCCTCAGTCTGAATTTGAGAGGGGTCTGGATGCTGACCATGTGCAGTGCAATCTGAGCTGCATCCAATGCTATTTTATGCGCTCACCTAACCCCACCCGTCACCGTGACGTCACTCACTCCATTGAGTCCACATTGTCTGACATTGCATCGCTGATTGATGCAATCTCAGCTTGCCTCATAAAGGCTGCATCCAGATAACATTTCAGAATTTGGCCATTTGAATATTGAATAATTAAAACATCATTTATTCATTTCCTTTTCAGCTTAGTCCCTTTATTAACCTTCCAGCTGCAACTCATCATTGGGAAACACCCATCACACAAATACACTACGGCCAATTTAGCTTACCAAATTCACCTGTACCGCATGTGTTTGGACTTGTGGGGGAAACCAGAGCACTTGGAGGAAACCCACACCAACACAGGGAGAACATGCAAATTAATTTTGCATCAAAAAAGCATTTTGATATTGGTAAAGGTGTTTGCAACTTTTGCAAAGCATCAAATCGCCATCAAATTAGCTTTTAAAACATGTGCATGACTGCAGAAATTATTACTCTTTTATATTGTGCATGTCTGTTATCATACAGGAATTGTACTAAAGCTGGGTCGGTACCTAAAATAGTACGTGTTTGTACTTTTATTTTAGAGTGAAGATTGCATAAGATATAAATATCTTATGAGCCTTTTTAGGCTCATTTAAGACGAAATTAGTTGTGTTTGAAAAAAAAAAACACCAAGATCGACATCTTTAGATATTATTATTATTAATTATGTGTATATGTCGCACCCAAAACCCAGACTTTTGCTCCACTTCAAATCGCGTGTACAGAATCTGTTTGTTTATCACTATGGAGAGCGTCAGCTGACAATCATGCAGGATGGGAGGGGAGACATTTTGGAATGAAAACTCCAACAGAACAGCAGCAAATTATAAGTCTGTAAAATAAACTATTATAAGTGGTGATGATTGTGAAAGTGTTGCATTGTCATCTTTCAGGTTGTATCTCAGCTTTAATGCGCTTTTTAAATAAATAAAAGCAGCTTGCCATCGCGACAGCAATAAGATCCAATGCAGTTACGCTCTCCAATAAGATCCGCTTTCACTCCAAAATGGCGGAATCCAGGGCTGTTGCTGGGCGCTGCTGTTGAAATGGAACGTTCAATTGAGTGTCGCCTTTTAGTCATTCTAAGCTCTTTGTTTTGCCCAAAAAGTATCCAAAACCCACCGAAATGCAAAAATACCCAACCAGTCTTCTGTATTCACGAAAATCACGTCAGTGACAAATTAAGCAGGAAATGTCAGATTGTACGCATGTCTCAAACACAATAACTCAACATCAGAATTATCATCAGCAGCATTAATGAGCAGGACAAATCTAAAGTAGGTTCAAGTCCACCATTCCAAGTCTATACACAATTTAGCATTTTAACCAACAGTACCGCTACACAGGGGCGCAACTGCACATTTACTGAGGGGTATGCGAGTTCAAGTTTTGCGCCTCCCCCCCACCCCCTATATTAATTTCCTCATCAACATGTCGAAGTTCTGAACGCAACTGAAATAGTATGAAGTAGTAAAAGTATAATTACATTAAGCATGTTAAGTCACAAAGAATTACATTTCATCCCAACCCAAATTTCTTCTTAATTCCATTTTCCTCACCAAATGATTATAGCACCTTGACATGTCTTGTTTTTGTTTCTTTTTGTACATTTGTCAAAACAAAATGAAAGATATGGGAGTCGTAAAGGGCAAAAGAACTTAAAAATGCAATAACTTCTCACATGCATATGTGAGAGGTGTAAGGTCTGTCTTCACATGAACAATTGACTGAAACTGCAATCACACCTTTTTACAAAGTGAAATAAAAAGACTGTACAATGTTTAGTTTAAAAAAATAGAGACAAACTGCCTGAAATGTTTTATTTGATAAAAATGTTATAGGCAAACTTTTTGGGAACTAAATTGAACTAGTTTTGAGCAGAAAAAGTTACCAAAAGGCCTGATGTATCAATATGATACATAATTAATTTATAAAAAAACATGTATAGGGTATAAAAATGGATCTTGATGGGATTAATAAACATTACAGTTCCAAAAAAATTTAATATTCTGACTATAGTTTTAACAGGGTTAAAAATCATTATAATTAGATATCTAAAATTTTTATAGGGGAATTTTTTAATCCATGTATTATTTTCTATTTTGCCTAAAATAAATTCAGTATAGTCCCACACGGATTCTGCGTGCGCAGACATCTGCAGTTTTCTACAGATTTTTAGCCCATCATTGAATCTATTTGTGTAAATTTGTGTACATTTCTATTTACTCAGTATTCAAATTCATTTCACTAATATTATTGTGATATAATAATAGTAATATTAAAATGTTCATATGATTTATTTACAATACAGTTGGTAAAGTAGTATTTTCTGCCTGTAATTCTCAGCAGAAATAGCAAAAAATGTTTGCAGATTCTGTCTGGCCCTAATATTAAGGTTTTAAACATACATTTTGTGTGATCCCTCTTATTTTTTGCTAAATAATCAATTAATAATAGAATGTTTCAAATTACTCAAACCTTTTGAGCTCAACTGTAAGTATGATTTGACAGTTTATTTTGATAAAACTTTTACATAAACTTTACACTTGGATGTGTGACTGCATGTTGTTTTAAATGATTTTGAATTAAAATGTGTGTGCCAACGAATGGAATTCATACCTACAAACTCTCTCGTTTTTGCCATATTAATTCTACCATATTTTACCATTCTATCCGCTGTCTTCCATGTGTGTTTTTCCAGTATTTCTCCCGCATTTGTAATGTTTCTATGAAAAGTGAAAGTAGCAGCTGCACAGAGCCGATCTCAAATGTGATGCAAGAACTGTTTAAGATAATTAAGCTTTCACATTATTTTGATTGACAGCACTTTGAAATTAATGTAAAAACGGCCGCATTCACATCCTTTCCAGTAAAGCTTTATGCGTCTTTTGCCGCCCTTATGCAGCCTCTGAATCAGTTTAACGGTGCTGAGTGACGGACGCGCTCCATAGTGATAAAGACGGCTTCTATACACGCGATTTGAAGATGAATGAGAGCGGATACTTTAAGATTCAGGTGTGTAAATAGAAAAAAATATACACAATGTGATGGGGCGACGTATGGGCTTGGCACTACATTTCCCATAAGTCCGTAGCAGAGCGTAACGTAGCGTAATAGGTGTCAGTACGCGCTATAAATAGACGCACAACAGCATAGCGTGCTTTTGGTTGTCATTCATTGAGGCTACAAACAAGTGGGTATCAAGCAGGTAATTTGTTCTCTAACTATTATAGTAATTGTGACTTTGCTTGTTCATTGTGTCAGGAGAGCTGTTTGTTTATTTGATGTCATCATTTCAAGTTTGATTGCATGCATTTAGAACAATATGTTGTTAGATCAGCTCTGTGTAGCGGAGGATATAAAGTGCCCTCACGCATGGGATTTATTGCGAGGTAGGAAATGCGAGAAGAAAGGCGGGGTAAACAGTTACTTTATTGTGTTGTGTTTCAGAATCCCACCCGTGTTAATGGTGATTGGCCTGGTGACACAGTCGGCAGATTTTAACTGATATGCTACTTGTGTGAATTACATTCAAAAGGTAAAAGGAACTTAAAATGCTACATTAATATTTACTATTACATAATGTGATTATTTAAATAAAATGGTTTTATAGGTTCTCTAAGAAGAAACTCTGGGTTGGGTTTTAATTCCTTTCGGTTAGGTCCAGTTATGTAAGGTATTTGAATTTTATCCAAAGCCATTTTAATGCAGATTCAATATTCACAAATATTTATTAAGTCGTTTTTGTGTTACAGGACTAGCACGACTATTGTTACTATTTTTGTTTGTTGATTTAGGTGAAAGGCCCTGTTTGTTGTGTGCTGTGTACAAATATTATTGTAACTTTTTCTTTGGTTTGTTTTGTTACTCTTGTGTGTTAAAGGGCAGCCGCTCGTCTCCTCCGTGGGTGTGACTGGCACTGGTGAGGTGGTGGGACCCTTTAATGGTTTGTGGTGATTTGTGTATATTTTTGGAGTGCTGTGGTTGCTGTAGTGTGATTGCTGTGCTACTGGGAGTTAAGAGCTTCTCATCTGTTGCATCTTCTCACACTTCGTCCTGCCCCGTTGTAGGCCTGAGGTTTGCCCTGAATGTTTTGTTATTTTGTGTTGCTTACTTTAGCATTCTCTTTTTTAAATTGAAATTGCCCCATTTATGCAATGTTTTAACGAGTAACTGGTTTTGTACTTTATAATAAAAACTGTTTGAATGAGTCATAGAGTTCTGATTAAGTTTTGTGGCTATTATTCACTCATCATTATCTGATGGGTTACAACAATAATATGTAAACATGTTTTATTTGAAACACAAGTAATATTATCTTAAATTAGCATAAACAAAACAAGTGTTTTCATTGCATTCTTAAAGTCAGACTCGCACCTCTGTTATGAAACAAAACAGAGGATCAAACTAAATTCTTTTGTTGCTCTTTAGTAAATAACTATAGTAACTGTAATCAATATTTAAATGCAGTAAATAAAAATGTTCTCTTTTGAAGCTGACGGTCCATGAATTTACGACAAAAGCCTTCACCATAAAGTTAACTTTACACCAGCTTATCATGGCTTTAGCCTATAGAAATATAGTGTTTTTCGCATACTATACAGGATGCAAATATGCGATTTCGGACGCAGTTCAGGTGTGGCCGTGCGTCACTGTCCCCCTGCCTGGACAAAACCACCTTGTCTGCATTTATGTTAAGTAAAAGCCCATGCATGCAGTGACTGAGTGGCGATAATGAATAATTAATGATATGGCAGCCCGTTGCTCCCAAAAACGGAAGTTGATTAAAAGTGTGGTAATATTAAGCTTAAGCTTACCAATTCCTTATTATCCAATTTGTCATGGCAGTTTTTATTTTAAGGCATTGTTTGTTCTCTTTTTGTTTTCTATTTTGCACTCCACGTCTCTTTACTCTTCTCTCCATTTTGAACATGTGACTGTAACCGAGCAACGGATCAATCAAATGGTCAATGAAGAGGGAGGGGTGGTATAATTTTTTTATTCAATAAAATACAATTTTGTATTTATATAAAATGCAGGATAAACATTTTTAACCAAAAATATGCATTTATTTTGTTTAATATGTATAATAATATGTATAATTTCAAAAATAGTTTTGGCACAATAGCGCCCCCCCATGTGTGGCGCCCCTATGCGCCGCATATACTGCATACCCCCTTTTTGCGCCACTGCCGCTACACAAAGCCTATTGCTGTTTTACCACATGTTTGAGAACAATAATAATAGCCCACTCACATTAATCTTTATTTTACATCTACAGAATCCTGATCTTTATTTTAGGCAAAAATAAAAATAAAAATCACGATTCTCATTTTAGAATCATGCAGCTCTACTCTCGGATTAGTTTTGAGGAGTGAAATGATACTGGATCGTTTCAAATCCTCAATAATCAAATCCAGCTAACGGAGTAATCCACGTACGAAGAACAGACCCCAGATCTTCATCACACACTCTGTGAATGTTTGGGTTTTCCCTCATCAGTGTGCAGTATTTCAGCAGTGTTCACTCAGTGGACGACCCACGACTCTCACTGCAGTAAAGGGGATTTGATCATGATGTAAAAGCTGTGTGTTTTGTGGTGTAAAAACAGTGTTATAGCTGACAGCTCAAAATTGACCCTTATATGTTCAGCCTTCTTGAAAATATAATTCATTTTCCTAATGTTGATGTAACGGAGTAAATAAGTGTGTTAAATTAATGCCTAAATGGGGACAGCGCCCTCTAGAGTGCGCGTGATGTAATAAGCGCGTGGAGTAGAGACCGCCCACAGCAGAGTTAACGAAGCATTGCTGTGGGTAAGTTGACGTTTCTCCCGGGTGGAAAATGACCATTAATAAGTGTTTAAAACACATAAATATTAGCTTTAATGTGACTTAATGTTTCAATGAATATGTTGGGACACTGTTGAGTTGTGTTTGGCGTCGAGTGTGCTGCTCAATCTTGAGTTTATAACGTGTTTATATAACGAGGCCTGATTGAAATCAATTTGTCTTGTTTCATTTAGAGGTGGCCATTTTCTTTATGAACCAGCAACCATTCACACGCGCTGTCTGTCTCCATTCTACAGGTATGTGTTAAATGTTATTAATTGTAATTCTTTCTCTTCTTATTCAAAACGAGTTTCTAGAAGTCTCCATTAGGTGGGGAAGTTTCCTTACTTTTGGAGTTGAATAGAGTGGAGGAACTATGACGTCACTTTGTAGGCTAATCGGCTGCTAGCATAAAACTGGTTCCCTCGTGAAAATCCCTATAGGATTTTCCCATAGGGTTTTCGAAGATTGCGAATAATACGCTCTGTGTTCAAACACTGTTCATTACACTTACACGTTTTGTTCAGCCGGATAATTGTCACACGAAAATATAACATTGAGCACTTTTGGATCTTAAATGCAAACGCAAGACTTGAAAAGCTAACATTAGGCTATAAACGGACTACAGCGCCCTCGGGGCGCTCGTCAGTGACGTCAGCCCCACCCTACTACTGACGACTTATCAAGCTTATTTTTAGAAATAACGTCCATGACAAAGAGGTTATCTCTCAGTATATTATATTGTAATCCACGCTATATATTATAAACTAATAAATACGCAAACACACATAGACCTTTGTGCCTTTTGGATAGTTTTTACATGGGAAATACATGTTTTGCTTTGCGGTTGTTCTAAAAGTTTAAAAAATGTGTATAAATGTGCCTATATAGTATTATTATGAGGCATATTTAAATAAGTGTATCGCTCGCGTGCACACAGCCCGCTTACCTTAACAGACGACGGCGTGAGGAGGAACAAGTCTATCAAATGCCTGCAGGTTTCATCATCATGGACACAGAACAACATTCAATATTCCTTTTTTGTCACGAAGTACAGCGAAAAACAGCCCAATACAGTCACATCTGCTATACGTTTTATGGAGGAGTGTAAATATTGCAGTTATGACAGAGTTAAATGTGTTGATGAAGAAAAAAAGACGAGAAATCACTTGATCACGTTAAAATGACAGTTAACATGCATGTATTTTTACACATTTATTCACACGTTTGCATTACTGAGAGCAGGAAAGAAACTGAGCAGTATCTTCATATTATCGTTTAATTAAAATGAATGATCAACAAATGAATCTGTCTCGACAGCCTTTACATGTGAAGGAATTATCTACACACAATCTGAATTCTCAATTAGAATAATACAACAAACTATAAAATACTATTCTGAAAATACTTAAATCACAGACAAATCCAAACGCCCAAGCGAGCTGCGCTCCAGACCAGATCAGCTCGATGACGTATAATGCCCCCGACGCCGCCTGTAGTCTCATTTAGCAACTTGATAGCAACCGTCTTTTTAAAGAAGCATAATCGATTTAAAAGTTGAAGAGTGTGCTGTAACTGATGTGTTTTATGTCGTAGAACAAAACGTGAAAGTATATTGAGTTGGTGTTAGCCACGGACCTTATTTGAGCGATTTTACTGAAACCCCATTCAAAAAACCCATTGACTTTGGGACGAGGGAACCGGAAGTGCTAAAATGCTAACTCGCTTCCGGGTTTTTGCATACAAATTGACGTCATAGTTCCTCTACTCTATTGTAGTGCTCTGTTACACTCGGTGATTGTAACGTAGACTAACCATGTTCCGTACACTTTTCGCTATTCAGCGCACTCAAACGACCACTCCTCCGTCACTGAAGGCCAGGTTAGCTTGCTTGTGTGTTCATTCTCTGTGGGAATACCTATTGCACAATCCAAATCTTGATTGATGTCTTTTGGACCAGTAGTTTTTGAGAAAATATGGGATAAGTACCGCCTTCGCATGTGTACGGAAAATAATTATTAACGGTGTTCCGTACACTACTAAAATAGTGTTCCGTACAGGGCGCACAACTTTAATGTACTGTCAAAAATGGGCATTGTTTGAAGTCTTATTAAAATCTTATGTCAGAATATACTGTTATTGTGTTTAACTTGAAGTTAATGATATATTAAATAACTCTTTTATGAAAGTTTGAAATGAAATAGCTTCAAAATCATTTACTTTTTATATCATCATTATTATTTTATTACAGCATGACAATTTAAAATATTAAAACATTAAATTCATGCTAACTTGACTTACCTTTTATGTGTATAAACATCATCACTGCACAAAGATGATCCAAACAGCGTTTGCAGCCTGTCTCTCAGGCTCTCTCTGGCGGAGAGCTGCGACACACGGTCATCTCCCAGAACTGACGTTTAAATATCCCCATTCCAAAGCATTTATTCAACAAAAGATAAGTTATTTAACAATTTGTGATAACATAATATTCATTTCATAAAGACTGCAATACCGTGTGATGCATAAATTAAATGCAAAAGCATATTGTCGTAGCTTTGAATGTCTCCCCTCCCAGGCGACACACACACTTTAAGCTTGCTAAACACTATTTTCAAGCGCATTAGGTGGACGTAGCAAACTTACTGAATTTACTCGGAAACATATAGTAGGACGGTCTCTGTTGTGGTTGGGGCTGAAAGAGTGAGAATTAAAGATTGCACAGATATATAGCTTGCCTACGACCCATAAGTATTTATTCAGAGTTCAGCGTTAAAAGGTAATCTGTACGGAACATTGTTGTGTACGAAATATGGTTAGTCTACGTTACATTGAGAATTGTGATTCATTAATTTGTCATGTAAAATTCAAAGTGTGTTTTGTTTTTCATATTCTGACTTATAATTTACACTATATGATCACAAAGTTAAAAATAATTAATTGGCATATAAAAAAAATATTTAAACTGTTTTAAATAAAACAGAAGCATTGCTGTGGAAATTGTCATTTTCTTTATGAACCAGCAACTATTCACACGCGCTGTCTGTCTCCATTCTACAGTGTGCAGTAAGAAGACAGCCCAGGCAAGACCGTCACATTGGCCTCATCTTTTTGAACAGTGTTAGTTTGAGTCATCTTCTTTCCTGCTGGTGTGCTGGAACATTGTCTTGTTATGTTCGACATGATGAAATACAGCTGACTCAGTTTTTTAACCGCGCTATTGGAGATATCCTTGTATCTGGTGGGTGTTGCACTGGATCTGTCAGGAAGAGATGTGTAGTGTTGAGCAAACAGTTCAGTAATCACGATCATTACACTAAAGAAAGTTCACTGCTGAGCAATTCCAGCGTTACGGATGTGACATTTACAGTAAAAACTCAAGACATTAATGAACAGGAAGTATATGGTGACTATAATGAAGCATGTGTGCATGGAATTGCTCTGCTCCCTCCTGCAATAATCAGACTTTCCAGGGATCATGAGCTTCCCCCGTCCAAAATCAATTAGCTTGATTTGCAGAGGCGGGCCGATGACAAAGATATTACAATCATAAATATCACAATGACAAATTTCCCACCTCAAGCACTCCTGCGCTGCTTTGACAATCTGCAGGATAAGCGTACGCGCGTCTCTCTCCTCCAGGTGTTGGTGCTTCTGCAGGAAATCCTCCAATGTTCTGCCCTGGCCAAGATACTCAATCAACAACATTATTGTCTTACACACTTTCTGAAAGCAGATGCAATGAGTTAAAATAAAGCACATGACAGCAGTCCTCAGGTCAGTCTTCACACCGGCTTCCAGTTACATTCAGGATAGATTTTAAAGAAGAAACGAGTTTATTTCGCTTACCGCACTGCCATATTATTAACCCACGAGCTTTTCTGAAAACAAGACAAAGGTATTTACTTGTCCAGAAATGCTTCTTGATTTAAGAATTTAAAATTGCAAAATCAAGACGAAAATAAGAAACGAGACAAACCCTGCTGCAGCGCATCGTGCATGAAATGTGCTGAATAAATAGGCTTACCCCATCTGACAATTTCTCCTCTTTAACCAAAAACCATTCCTGGAGTTTGATGAGCAGCGGGCTGGGGGGATCTCTCGCAATCGTCATCATGGCCACTTCATTTGATAGCGGTAACGGATATCCAGGCTAAAGATAAAGTGCACATTAGCTGCATATCAACAACATGTAATCCTGTTTTTCAATATAGGGATTCAATAGGGAGAATAGACTTACCCGTTTTCTGTCTGCTTTTCTAGTGCCAAGATACACCTTGCCGTAGCAGCCAGCTCCAATTTTTTCTTTCAGGTCATACTTTTCTTCCACTGAAAGATAAAAGCAGCATGTTCATTTGAGACAGCTTCTAGTTATGCCTGAACCGACAGTATAAAAATAAAGCAATTTAACCTGTAACAGCCAACAACATAAACAAAGCCAATTTTTACTGAATTAAGTTTTTTGAAAACTTTAAATTCCAAAGCCTTTTCCCAAAATACGTCAAAATAGTTTGTCACTAAAAAATCACTTCATTTGCTAAAACAAAGAGAAAGTTGAGGCCAAATGACCCCAGTGTGTATGAAACAATGACTGTAAAAAATATGGACGACGCGACAGCCCTTTTTCCCATTGAACGCCTTGAGGGCAAAACGCCTGCTTGACGGGCACAAACTGTCGCAAAAGACTGCTGAAATTGGAGCCAGACATGCGCAGAAGGATTGTCTGATGGAGCCAGAGGAGGAGCACCGAAAATGAGCAGAGTCGAGCTTCCAATCAAACGCTTTATGTAAAATCAACTACGCCCCCCGAACTTCTCAGCATGCGTTTGCTGTCATATCAACACAAATGGATGTAATAACGTTAACAAATATGAGGGTTTTATATATTCAATCGCGCCAGCTCCAGGCCGCAGCGCATAACTTACTCGCGGCGTCGCGGGCTGATTCCGGCTCGCATGCGGCAGCACCGGCTCGCTCGGCCGCCGCATCTGGCTCGATTGACTCGGACTGGAATCGGGCAGTGAGTCCAGGCATCCGGAGTAGGTCCAGCAGAGGTAACATTAGTCAGTCTGAGCTCTAAGAGATAAGTCTCCGGCAGGCGAGGATCTAGCCGGAACTGTGTTTTGCTATCTGGGTGGCTAGGCGTGTATCAGCAAACTAATAAAGCCCGAAAAAAGCCCTGAACTTAGCGAATAAACAGTGTTCCACCAGGATCATGTATGTCAGACACTATAGTTTACTGCTGAACTCATTTTGTCATGGTAAAATAACACAGAAATCGAATAATAACATTTCAGTCTACTTCAGTCTCCTGCCGAAGCTCAGACGCCGCGCTTTGAGAAACTGTCAATCACAGCTGTCAACCACGATGACACGCCCAGCATTAAATTACTGCTAAAAACAAACTGTTTACAAAAATGAAGATCTGCACCTATTTCAGCACAATAACCAGTGCCTTAATCGACCAGAACTATCTTTCGGGACGTTTTATTGCAAGTGTAATATTTTTTTTTATTTGGGCTCAAGTCTCCTTCATTAACACGGAGGAGGCGGGCTTTATGACTTGTACTGCAGCCAGCCCCCAGGGGGCGATCTAACGGCCGAAACCTTCACTCAAACGTAGGCTTGCGGCACACTTGGTATGAAACAGCAACACAAGGGTTAAACAACATCAATCAAACATTAAAAATACATTCAAATGTAGAACCAGGAGAAGGCCCTATTCTCTGTCTACATGGCGGTCTTCTTTGTCCGGAAGGACCGGGAACATGAAACATACTTTTTTCCATTTATTAGCAGTAAATAACGCTCTCTAGGGTGTATAAATGAGTTTACTGCAGTTAATTATCTGATTTTTCGCCTTGTCTAAGTATCAAATGCAGAGTTTCTCAAAACACGTCTGCTCTGGTCTGGTGGATTCTGACATTCGCGGTGCAGAACGCGTTCATAACGTGGCGTAGGGCGAGACCAAAGATGGGATGGGGGTCATGTAGGTACAGGTCTTCAGGGTATAAAAGGTGAAGTGGCATATTAACCTTCTGTTTAGGGCACGTGATGACATTATAAAATACGCGTGGACCTTATACAAGTCTTTTGACATCTCTGCATGGGGAAAAGAGGGAAGAATAAATTTAATCACGCAAGGCCTGGCCTGATTGATATTTGACGGGTCCAACACGGCTGATTAATTTGAGGACTCTGCATCGGCCTGTAGCTCTGGTCTGAATTTACAATGTAATACGGAATCACGATGCTTTGACTCTTGTCCAGAAGTCTGCTGCTAAGAAATCGAAAGCTCCGGAGTCTAATGTTAGTTGTCATGGAAACGAGGATGTCTTGGCGGCAGTACGTGAAGTTGCTAACCTATGGAATAAAATTCTTGTTATAATTATAAAATTCACGCATCTGCAATTATGAAACCGCAAAGGAAAACGAAACATAACGTGTAACATTACTTTACAGACACGAAATACAGTTTCACCACGGACATGAACATGCATATATATGTTACCCACTCAAATTTTAAAATATTAAATATTGTTTTATTTTGACATGTAATTAAGAGTTTAATTAATTTTTTTCTATTTGTCAGAGTATATGTATTTATGTTTTATTTTCTTACCTAATGCACAACATTTGGGCATGTAAAATAAATTATAGATGTTTAAATTTACATTTAGAAGTTAATTTCTAAAAACCGGAATTGAGGTCAAGGGTGACTGACGTGACTTGCAGCCAGCTTGTGGTGAAGACAGGAGAGACACGTTTTGGCTCTCTTCTAATTTAATCCATCCTGCCAATTCTGCATAAAATTCATGTCCCAAACTGTTTTGCTGCAATAGGTAAGTTCTATGCATTTTGATTTCCTGCATATATTTTATTTTTCGATTTGTTAAGTTATATTGTATGGATGATGCAAACTGTTCATGGATCGCTGTAATTGTACAAGTTTACCGTGTTCAATGTGTTTTACTCTGTTTTATATGTATATATTTTAAACATATTGTGAACTGTTTTGTGAAAATGCTCTTAGTTGAAGTTAGCAATGTTATGTGAAGTTGTAAAGTTATGTGAAGAGTGTGACTGACGCCACTTGCACGCCAGCTTGTGGTGAAGACAGGAGAGACACGTTTTGGCTGTCTTCTAATTTAATCCATCCAATTCTGCATAAAATTCATGTCCCAAACTGTTTTGCTGCATTAGCTTATTGACACTGGACTGTTCCATGGCGCCACGGCCGCATTGGACTCGTGCAGGCAAGGGGAACGGCTCCTTGCCTTCACTCCCTGAGGATTCCTGCCAATTTGGATGGACGCATGTCATCACTCAATCGTCGAGGATTTTTGTAGGAACACATACACTGATTCACATTCACTGAACTATGTTTTACATTACATTCTGGACTTAGAAGTTTTCATATATATATCTATTGAAATTGGGACGTTTAGACAGTTAAAACTATTTCCTACTTCTGTATAGTTTTATTTTTTTTTTCTTTTCAAAAAGGGCTGAGTTGCTGTGAACATATTGTATTTTATTTACTTAATTTTGTTTGTTTTGAATACCTGAGTACGTTTTCATTAGGGCTGAAAAGCAGTTCAGATACTAAACAGAAAATTGCAATACAGCAAACTCAAAAGTATTTTCTTGTGTATGGGTATTTATTTTTATTTGAGCAGTTGGAGATTATAGTACGAGTAATATGTAAAATTTGGCCACTCACTTCATAAATATATTGTGTTGTTAAGTCAAGATATCCCAGACCCGAGATTCCAAGTAAATTGTGTTGAAATTTCATATATAATTTGGAAAGCTCAGACCCAGTAGATAATTTTCCCCTTTTCAGTTAAATCAACTTTATAGGTGGGTTACATATACACTAGATATCGCATAGAGACCCCGAACATGCGTCAGTAGCCATATTGGTACAGTGCTCCCAGGACAAATGTCATTCAACCGCACTAGTCAACACAGTGTTATTACGTGAAGATGCTGGACCTCAGCGCTGTCTACAGGTGTAGTAACGAGAAAACAAAGCACAAAGGCAGAACATTTTATAGGTAAGATTCAGTTTTTTTTACGTTTTTGTATGTTATGAACTTTTGTGCTAAACAAGTCACTTTATTGATGATAATACTGTCTCTTACTGCATTCACCATCATCAAGACAAAACAACAACTCACACTAAACGCTCTGCTTATGTTGAATAAAATCAGCAAACAATGCAAAAGAATAATAATAGTGTGTATTTGCTTAATTTTCCAATAACTTTTTGATTAATGATTTCCCACATTAAATACTGTAGTAATTTATACTAAGCAATATATTGTTTTTAAACAAAAATTTAGCAGTAGAAACAAATTAAATATTAATGATTAATAAAAAAATAAGTGAATATATAAATACACACACTAACAGCTGTGACAGTTTAGTAAAAGATAGTAGATTATAATCAGATAATCAGTTTAACTATATTATGTATTGTTTAAATGATTAACTATAGTAATTTATTTTAATGTGACACAATATTGTTTGCTTTTTATATTTTACAACAAAGTGGTTTAAACCAAGTATGATAATATTAAGATCTGAATTAGTTTATTGCACTTAATCCTACAATTAGACGGTCTATTATATTTTCTTTGTGTATGTGGACACATGAATAAAGTCATAAGTGTCTTTAACCAATTATTTTTATTTACATAATTTGAGTTCAGAAACTGCAGAGATGTTAAAATGATCGTTAAGATATAATAATGATGACTGAAATGGGAAA